TCAGTTGCTCGAACCTTTCCACATGTTTACAGGATGGTATTTGCCAACATTAGATAACTGAAAAACCTCTAGGGAAAAAATACTATGGTATTACTATATTTTTATATGCTGCCATGTCATCGTTTTTATGGTCACTATCATTGCGGTAATACATATATACATATATATGTATGTATATGTATGTAGGCTATGTATGTATGTATGTATTAGATAGATAGATAATACTTTATTTAAAAAAAAATAAAACGTATTATCAGACAATTTTCTCATATAACTACATTGTGTATATATATAATGTGCTCTATAAGAAAAGAAACTAAACTATTATTTTAGTCAATTTTCTTATAGAGCATATTTCTACTGCCACAAGAGTAGCAAGTGCTGTACAGTACAATCAAAAAACCAAACAAAGACAAAAACAAAACACAGCATCATAAAAAAAAATTATATTTAGGTCTCTCCTAAATTAGACTCAAAAGCCAAGATATAAAAGTGCTTCAAAGCCATTTTAAAAGTGATCAGAGAGGGGGCAAAGTGGATGGTTAGCTATTCCATAACCGAGGTCCGGCTATCAAAAAGGCCTGATCACCTTTTCACTTGAGTTGGGACCGCAGTACCTGGAACAATAGTTTATCAGCAGATCTCAGATTCTTTACTGGCTTATATAGAGTAACAAGATCTGACAAATAAGAGGGGGTGAGACATTTAAAATGTTACAAATTATTAATAGGGCCTTGAATTCGATCCGATATCTAACTGGTAACCATTGCAGGGATGTTAAATTCAGAGTGATTCTGTCCCTCTCTCTCAAACCGGTCAATAGCCTAGCAGCAGCATTTTGAGCAAGCTGCAACCGATTCACCAGTGACTGAGACATTCCAAAATACAATTACAATAGTCCAGTAGATGATATAAAAGCATGGATGATCGTCTCCAAATCTCTAGATGAGAGCATTGGTTTTATCTTAGCTATTAAGCTTAAGTAGTAGAAACTAGTTTTCACCACAGTATTAACTTGTTTTGCAAAATTCAACTCTGAATAAAAAAATACACCCAGATTTTTTGCATATGGATGAACATTTCTAGAGAGGGGCCCCAAATAACTAGAAATAAGGGGCGAATAGCTAAGAGGGCCAAAAACAACAACATCCGTTTTGCTCTCATGAGAGGAGAAAATTCTTAGCCATCCAGGATTTTACATCCTCAAGACACTTAATAGTAGAACAGGACTTATCAGCTGGGTGTAATGGGACATACAGTTGAGTATCGTCAGCGCAGCAGTGGTATGCAATGTCATATTTCCTAAAAAAAAGACCCCAAAGGTAACATATACAGAGAAAACAGAATTGGACCTAATATGGACCCTTGTGGGAGCCCGCATGATAGAGGAACTGAAGGACATGAAT